TTTAGCGTTTTTTTTTTTTTTTTTACTAAAAAAAAACCCGTTTTTTGGTCAAAAAACATCCAAAAAACGCCAATTTGCGGCGTTTTTTTTCTGCGTTAGAGGGTTTTTACAGATAAAAAAAACTCCTCTAGAAACCCACTTGTCCTGGGTTTTTTTTCCAGCCAAAAAAACTTTGATTCCAGTCTGTTTGTGCATGGACACATAGGAGAACATGCCGGGGATGGACACATAGGATAACATGCCGGGGATGGACACATAGGATAACATGCTGGGGATGGACACATAGGATAACATGCCGGGGATGGACACATAGGATAACATGCTGGGGATGGACACATAGGATAACATGCTGGGGATGGACACATAGGATAACATGCCGGGGATGGACACATAGGATAACATGCCGGGGATGGACACATAGGATAACATGCTGGGGATGGACACATAGGATAACATGCTGGGGATGGACACATAGGATAACATGCCGGGGATGGACACATAGGATAACATGCCGGGGATGGACACATAGGAGAACATGCCGGGGATGGACACATAGGAGAACATGCCGGGGATGGACACATAGGAGAACATGCCGGGGATGGACACATAGGAGAACATGCCGGGGATGGACACATAGGAGAACATGCCGGGGATGGACACATAGGAGAACATGCCGGGGATGGACACATAGGAGAACATGCCGGGGATGGACACATAGGAGAACATGCCGGGGATGGACACATAGGAGAACATGCCGGGGATGGACACATAGGAGAACATGCCGGGGATGGACACATAGGATAACATGCCGGGGATGGACACATAGGATAACATGCCGGGGATGGACACATAGGATAACATGCCGGGGATGGACACATAGGAGAACATGCCGGGGATGGACACATAGGAGAACATGCCGGGGATGGACACATAGGAGAACATGCCGGGGATGGACACATAGGAGAACATGCCGGGGATGGACACATAGGAGAACACGCCGGGGATGGACACATAGGAGAACACGCCGGGGATGGACACATAGGAGAACACGCCGGGGATGGACACATAGGAGAACACGCCGGGGATGGACACATAGGAGAACACGCCGGGGATGGACACATAGGAGAACACGCCGGGGATGGACACATAGGAGAACACGCCGGGGATGGACACATAGGAGAACACGCCGGGGATGGACACATAGGAGAACACGCCGGGGATGGACACATAGGAGAACACGCCGGGGATGGACACATAGGAGAACACGCCGGGGATGGACACATAGAACACGCCGGGGATGGACACATAGGAGAACACGCCGGGGATGGACACATAGGAGAACACGCCGGGGATGGACACATAGGAGAACACGCCGGGGATGGACACATAGGAGAACACGCCGGGGGATGGACACATAGGAGAACACGCCGGGGATGGACACATAGGAGAACACGCCGGGGATGGACACACAGGAGAACACGCCGGGGATGGACACACAGGAGAACACGCCGGGGATGGACACACAGGAGAACACGCCGGGGATGGACACACAGGAGAACACGCCGGGGATGGACACACAGGAGAACACGCGGGGATGGACACACAGGAGAACACGCCGGGGATGGACACACAGGAGAACACGCCGGGGATGGACACACAGGAGAACACGCCGGGGATGGACACACAGGAGAACACGCCGGGGATGGACACACAGGAGAACACGCCGGGGGTTACTGGCTGTAGAAAAAAAACGTCAAAAGCCAAAAAAAGCCGCTTCTTCCTCTGCTTCTTCTTTCTTCCTCCTGCTTCTTCTTTCTTCCTCCTGCTTCTTCTTTCTTCCTCCTGCTTCTTCTTTCTTCCTCCTGCTTCTTCTTTCTTCCTCCTTCTTTCTTCTTTCTTCCTCCTTCCTTCTTCTCCTCCCTCCTCCCTCCTTCCTTCTCTCTTCTCCCTTTCTTCCTCCTCCTTTCTTCCTCCTCCTTTCTTCCTCCTCCTTTCTTCCTCCTCCTTTCTTCCTCCTCCTTTCTTCCTCCTCCTTTCTTCCTCCTCCTTTCTTCCTCCTCCTTTCTTCCTCCTCCTCTTTTTTTTTTCCTGTTAAAGTGGAATTGTTGCTGGGCAGAATAAAAATGCAAAACGCGGCAAAGACGCACTGCCGTGCATTTCTGTATTTCTCCATTGAGCTCTATTGTAGCCAAAACACAGACTGCGCCAGAAAATCGCATCAGCCAGGTGTGAATTAAGCCTATTGATGCAAGAGCCCTGAAAAATCATGCTGGCAGTGATGTGTTGTAACTCCTGACCTGTATGCTTCTTCTCAGCTGGTGACTTCCTAGGTGGTGGGGGAAGGGATAAGGATGACGGTGTCAGAGCTTGCACCTTTATAGGTTTCATTCATACAGAATCAGAATACTTTATAATTCTCGAAAGGGACATTATGCTGCTGTAATGCACATTGTGTGTTGCACTGCCATTCATTTTGAGTGTACCTTAAAAAAAAACGCAGGTTTGCTGCAGGACGGTATAGCTCCAGGTGTGGTGTGCTGTGGGAAAATGCAGCTTGTTCATTCTTCATGTGCACTTCAGCCCATTTAATCAATGGGTGGTTTGAGTTAATGTAATGTGCGCGGTTGCCGTACGCAGCATTGTGGTCCTAATGGGCACTCTATTGGTTTTCTAGAGAAATCAGGACATCAGCTCCCCGCAGAAGAAGAGCCATTCTTCTCCCCTCTCTGGTGGCCTCTATGTACTACTTCATTCTGTTCCAGCACTGCAGCCTCCATTAGTGTCTTCAGCATCCGTTTGTTGGGAGTGTCGGGTGTCTTATGTCTTCTGCCGCCCACCATGGCTCCTTGCTCTGACCTTGACGTCACTAAAGGACTCAGCTGTGACTTAGAGGTCAGAGAATGAGACCAAAGCAATCCGTTGGCAGTGGAGGCTCCTTGCAGGTTTACATGAACGAGTGAGCAACAGGTTCTTTTTTAATCCCTGCCTATACTCCTCTACTGGGTCTTGTTTGGTATGGTGATCACATGACTCTCATTCCTCCAACTAGACGGCTCTGGTGCTTTGTGATCGGCCATGGAGGCACCCAACACTGTCACATGGTGTCTGGTAGAAAGTCCTTAAAGTGTTACTAAAAACCTACAACAGTAAAAATCAGTCTGTACAGTGGATATAAAAAGTCTACACACCCCTGGTAAAATATTAGCTTTTTGTGATGTAAAAAAATGAGACAAAGATAAAAAATTTCAGAATTTTTTCCACCATTAATGTGACCTATAAACTGTACAACTTCTGAACAACAAACTGAAGTAAAAATGAATAACTAAAATAATGTGGTTGCATGATCTTCTCCCTACCTGAACTCCGCATTGTGGAGGGCGGGAGGCATGGAGGGAGGACTGGCGGGGTGGACTCCTGGTCTGTATGTACTCACCTGCCGCCGCCATCTTCGCCACTGCTGTTGAAGGGGTGAGAGGTATGGAAGGAAGGACTCCTCTTCTGAATGTACCGATTTGCCGTCGCTGAACCCAGAGGAGGAGGGCGGGAGGCACAGAAGATCTCCACTGAGCGCATGAGCTGCTCAACTCTTATTAAAAGGGAAGTGACCCGCTTGTTAATATGAAAGGTTGGCTTCCCTCCCCCGCTCCCACTGTAGACCTGCAGTGCCTCCCGCTCTCCTCCCCTATCTGAGTTCAGCGGCGGCAGCAGCAAGCCGGTGCATTCAGAAGAGGAGTCCTTCCTTTCATTCCTCCCGCCCTCTTCCCTGCTGTGACATCAACAGCGGCAACTACCGCATCAAGAATAGGAGTCCACCTTGCCATTACTCCCGATTTCAAGCAGCGGCAGGAGGAGAGGAGTCCACTCAGGCTGCTAAGCGGTGTGGCCGCGGTCCAGACAGGACTGTACCCTGGTCTGAATTCGGACTGCAGTCCGCCATTTAGTGATGCCTGTTGTAGGTAAAAGGTAGCTGTAGATAAACAGGTACAACTTACTGTATGCAGGAGGATTTGTTCTTTATCACCTGAGGCCAGTCACTTCAGTTGGTATAGACTTCAGCGGGAAGTCGCCTCCCATAGACCTCAGCAGGAAGCGGCCCCCCGCAGGCTACAGCAGGAAGCGGCCCCCCGCAGGCTACAGCAGGAAGCGGCCCCCCGCAGGCTACAGCAGGAAGCGGCCCCCCCGCAGGCTACAGCAGGAAGCGGCCCCCCGCAGGCTACAGCAGGAAGCGGCCCCCCGCAGGCTACAGCAGGAAGCGGCCCCCCCGCAGGCTCCGGCGGCAGGGGGCCTCCCGCAGGCTCCGGCGGGAAGGGCGCCCCCCAGGGGACTTTGGGCGGGAAGCCGGCTCCCCCCAGGGGACTTTGGGCGGCTCCGGCGGGAAGCCGGCGCCCCCCAGGGGACTTTGGGCGGGAAGCCGGCGCCCCCCAGGGGACTTTGGGCGGGAAGCCGGCGCCCCCCAGGGGACTTTGTTCGGGAAGCCGGCGCCCCCCAGGGGACTTTGTTCGGGAAGCCGGCGCCCCCCAGGGGACTTTGGCGGGAAGCTATGTGAACACTGATCTCCACATGCCACTCTACTCCATCATAATGGTACACAAAATGCAATGCATGTGGATCGCATCTGTGTGAATGACCTCAATAGGAACACGTAATATCTAGCCTGCCGTGTGAATCTGTGTTTTAAAGTGAATCCAGGATCACATGTGTGTGAATGAGAGCGGCTCCATTCACACCTGGGAATTTTGGGATCGTAGCCGAATCGCTGTGATTGCAAAACGCAGGTTCAGGCGCCATTGTTTTCAATGGCTCCTAAAACGTTGTGTGTCTTTGCCATGATTGTTGCGTGGCAAATCGCATGGAGTGAAGTCCGGGAGCTGACAACCCACGCTACACTAAAAAAAAAAAACCTGGCTCCTAACTTTTTGCATCTGGCTCCTAGATTCACGCAAATTTGTCAAGCTCTGCATTAGGTTGTGCTAAGATTTTATTTCTTTTCTTTTTCTGCAGAATTCTGGGGTGAAATTGTTAATTCCTTCTATTGGCGGGTGGCGCCTTCCCAGCCGCTGCTCAGTTACAACTTTGACATCACTAAAGGGAAGATCTTTGTGGAATGGATGAAAGGCGGCATCACCAATATCTGCTATAATGTGCTGGACAGGAACGTGCGGGAGAAGAACCTGGGGGACAAAGTCGCCTTTTACTGGTAAGTTTCATCGCTTCTCACCTCTGCCGCAAAATAGGTTGGATGAAACCTGTACTGAGAAATGGGGTCTGCGGTCCTGCCGGCTGACCATAGAGCTGATCGGAGGCTAGAATGGCACCGCTCATCTCTATGGTCTAAGAAGCGGGAAGCGATGAGCATTTCATCACTTCCAGTTTTGCGGCTGTAAACAAGTCCTTAGCGGTTTGAAAAAAAGCATTGGATCATTCCATTCTTGGTATGATCTGAAGATTTGAAGGGCAGAAGAGAGATCTAATAGACCACAGATCTCTGAGTAAAGAGGACCTGTCACTGCCAATTGCTATCACAAAATAATATCATGGGTGAAAACCTTCTATCGGCCAGGGCATTGAAAATGGGTGGTGGATGGGTGTTCCAGCATGACAATGACCCAAAACACACGGCCAAGGCAACAAAGGAGCGGCTCAACAAGAAGCACATTAAGGGCCTGGAGTGGCCTAGCCAGTCTCCATACCTTCATCCAACTGAAAATCTGTGGAGGAGCTGAAAGTTCGAGTTGCCAAACGTCAGCCACCAAACCTTAATGACTTGGAGAGGATCTGCCAAGAGGAGTGGGCCAAAATCCCTCCTGAGATGTGTGCAAACCTGGGGGCCAACTACAGGAAACATCTGACCTCTGTGATTTCCAACAAGGGATTGGCCACCAAGTACTAAGTCATGTTTTGTGAAGGGGATCAAATACTTATTTCCCTCATGAACATGCAGATCAGTCATCATTTTGTTAGACGCATTTCTGCTGAATTTGTTGTTGTATTCTGTCTCTCAGTGTTACAATACACCGAATATTCGATTTTTAGACCGATCATTTCTTTGTGAGGGGCGAACATTCAAAATCAGCCGGGGAGCAAATACGCATTTCCCTCCTATCTATCTGCTTTTGCTCTCTCTCTCTTGCTCGCTCTCTTGCTTTCGCTCTCTTGCTTTCGCTCTCTTGCTTTCGCTCTCTTGCTTTCGCTCTCTCGCTTTCGCTCGCTTTCGCTCTCTCGCTTTCGCTCTCTCGCTTTCGCACTCTCGCTTTCGCTCGCTCGCTTTCGCTCTCTCGCTTTCGCTCTCTCGCTTTCGCTCGCTCGCTTTCGCTCTCTCGCTTTCGCTCTCTCGCTTTCGCCCTCTCATTCTCGCTCGCTCTCTTTTGCTCGCTCTCTTTCTCGCTCGCTCTCTTTTTTTCTCTTTCTTTATCTTTTTCTTTCTCTCTCTCTCTCTATCTTTCTCGCTCTCTCTCTCTCTTGCGCGCTCGTTCTCTTTTTTCTCGCTCTCGCTCTATTTTTTCTTGCTCGCTCTCACGCTCTCTCTCTTTCTTTCTCGCGCTCGCTCGCTCTCTCTTTTTCTCGCTCGTTCTCTCTTTTTCTCGCTCACTCCTTCTCTCTCTCTCTCTCTTTTTTGTTTTACATGTAAACAAACGGTGTCAGGAAAGGCCTGGTCTTCAAGTCTACACTTTGTTACATTGGTTCAGCCAGAGCCAATGTAGCTGTGAACAAAATATTTACTGTATACCTGGAATTCTTCTCTAAACTCGTTGGGCGTACATCTCGCCCTCTGGTATGTACATATCAGGGTCGTCGTCCTCGGCCGCAGCTTGCTTTGCTGGTTTTCCCATCAGCGGCTGCGGTATCTCCAAATGACGTGGCTGGAGTTCTGCTTTTAGTAAACTCCGAGTTACAATCTGTACAGCGACTGTACCCAGAATGTCTATTGGAGTCTCGTGAGTAATTGGTGGAAGTGAGGAGACCTTTCTGCTAGAATCGTATGCGCTCCCGGCAGACGTCGTATTAATCGTTGCAGTGGATCCAGCTGTTGCCGTAATCTATCATCTTGTTAAGTTCGGCCAGCTATCCATTTGGCAGACAGTGACGTTCAGCTTTGATTTAATCAGCCGGCTCTGCAGGCATCTATCAGAGGTAATGAAATTGTGGCGCGATACGTTCCTCTGCAGACCCGTAATACAGGTTATATATAGACGGCCTCGCAGCTTCTAATGAGCCGGGTCTGCAAAACTGGGATGAGTTTTCATTCATAATAGTGACTAAATGACAGGCAGGAGAAGCATGAGACATGATTGATTGGGATCCTCTGTGTCTTGTCTGTTTTCTATTCAAGGAAGACTTTTATTTCTGACGCTTACTGGAAAATATCCGCCATGATAATCTAAAGGTGCTTTCCTTTACCACTTTTAAATCCATATGTTTTCTTTTTTTTTTTTTTTAGAAAAATACTTAGAATCCCCAAACACTATATATATTTTTTTTTTAAAGCAGAGGCCCTAGTGCAGTGGTCTCCAAACTGTGGCCCTGTGGACGAATGCAGCCCTTTGCCTGCTTTTATCCGACCCTTGGGGAAATAAATTTTCTGACACCAACAATGGGGCACAGTTTCCCCCACTGACCACAACAAAGGGGAACAATTCCTCCGAGTGACACTAAGATGGGACGCCAATGATGGGACACAGTTCCTTCCATGACGCCAATGATGGGACACAGTTCCTTCCAATGACGCCAATGATGGGACACTGCTATATACTGCTGATGAGAAAAGGTATTTAGCAGTTTATATTTACTAAAATAATTGCATTTCCATATTCTGTGTACTGTGGGAGACCAGATATAGTGAATGCAGGGTCCGGGGATAGCGGATATAGTGAATGCAGGTCCGGGGAGAGCGGATATAGTGAATGCAGGGTCCGGGGAGAGCGGATATAGTGAATGCAGGTCCGGGGAGAGCGGATATAGTGAATGCAGGATCCGTTGGAGAGCGGATATAGTGAATGCAGGATCCGGGGAAACGGGATATAGTGAATGCAGGGTCCGGGGATAGCGGATATAGTGAATGCAGGATCCGGGGAAACGGGATATAGTGAATGCGGGATCCGGGGAAACGGGATATAGTGAATGCGGGGTCCGGGGAGACCAGATATAGTGAATGCGGGGTCCGGGAGACCAGATATAGTGAAATGCGGGGTCCCGGGGAGAGCGGATATAGTGAATGCAGGGACCAGGGGAGACCAGATATAGTGAATGCAGGGGTCCCAGGGAGACCAGATATAGTGAATGCGGGGTCCGGGGAGACCAGATATAGTGAATGCGGGGTCCGGGGAGAGCGGATATAGTGAATGCGGGGTCCGGGGAGACGGAATATAGTGAAGGAATGCGGGGTCCGGGAGATGGGATATAGTGAATGCGGGGTCGGGGAGAACCGGATATAGTGAATGCGGGGGTCTGGGGAGACCGATATAGTGAATGCGGGGTCCGGGGAGAGCGGATATAGTGAATGCAGTGTTGGGTCTGGGGAGAGCGGTTATTAATGAATGCGGGGTCCGGGGAGACGGAATATAGTGAATGCGGGGTCCGGGAGATCTGGGATATAGTGAATGCGGGGTCTGGGGAGAGACCGGATATAGTGAATGCGGGTCCGGGGATAGCGGATATAGTGAATGCAGGGTCCGGGGTTAGCGGATATAGTGAATGCAGGGTCCGGGGATAGCGGATCCCCCAGTGAATGCAGGGTCCGGGGATAGCGTGGTGGGGGGATATAGTGAATGCAGGATTCCGGGTGGTGGAGAGCGGATATAGTGAATGCAGGATCCGGGGAAACGGGATTATAGTGAATGCAGGGACCCCCCCCCCCACGGGGATAGCGATATAGTGAATGCAGGATCTATGGGAAACGGGGTGAATGCGGGGGGGGGAGACCAGATATAGTGAATGCGGGGTCGGGGAGACCGGATATAGTGAATGCGGGGTTCCGGGGAGAGCGGATATAGTGAATGCAGGGTTGGGAGACCAGATATAGTTGAATGCAGGGTCCAGGGAGACCAGATTTTTTTTGTGTATAAATGCAGGGTCATATGGGAGATCCAGATATAGTGAATGCGGGGTCCGGGGAGAAGCGGATATAGTGAATGCAGGAGTCTGGGGAGAGGCGGATTATAGTGAATGCGGGGTCCGGGGAGACGGAATTTGTGAAATGCGGGGTCCGGACCTTAATGGGTTATAGTGAATGCAGGGTCTGGGGAGGACCGGATATAGTGAATGCGGGGTCCGGGGAGACCGGATATAGTGAATGCGGGGTCCGGGGAGACCGGAGTATAGTGAATGCGGGGTCCGGGGAGACCGGATATAGTGAATGGGGGTCCAGGGAGACCGGATATAGTGGAATGTGTTGGGGTCCGGGGAGGACCGGATATAGTGAATGCGGGGTCCGGGTGGGGGAGACCGGATATAGTGAATTGTTTTTTCCCGGGGAGGGAGGGGGATATAGTGAATGCCCCGGGGAGACCGGATATAGTGAATGCGGGGTCCGGGGAGACCGGATTTTTAGTGAATGCGGGGTCCGGGGGTGGGGATATAGTGAATTGCGGGGTCCGGGGAGACCGGATATAGCCTGAATGCGGGGTCCCGGGGGGACCGGATATAGTGAATGCGGGTGGTTCCGGGGAGACCGGATATAGTGAATGCGGGAAGTGTTTTTTGGATTTGTGGGATATAGTGCTGGGGGGGTTCCGGGGAGACTGGGGGGATATAGTGAATGCGGGGTCCGGGGAGGACGGGATATAGTGAATGCGTGGGGTCCGGGGAGACGGTATAGGTGGGAATGCGGGGTCCGGGGAGACGGGATATAGTGAATTTTGGTTTTTGGGGGAGACGGGATATAGTTGAATGCGGGGTTCGGGGAGACGGGGATTAGTGTTTGAATGCGGGGGGGTCCGGGGAGAGCGGATTTAGTGAATGGGGGTCCGGGGGGAGGGATATAGTGAATGGGGGTGTTTGGGGTTTCCGGGGAGAGCGGATATTTTGAATGCGGGGTCCGGGGAGGGAATATAGTGAATGCGGGGTCCGGGGAGTGGGGGATATAGTGAATGCGGGGTCCGGGGAGATGGGATTGTATAGTGAATGGAGGGGTCCGGGGAGACCGGATATAGTGAATGTGTGGGGGTCCTGGGGAGACCGGATATAGTGAATGTGGGGTGG